TGTGCTGATATTGTGTGTTAGTCAGAACTTGTAGGTTACCTTAACATATTTATAGTATTATTAATTTGAGGAACTACTACTATAGAAATTATATATTAATAATTAAAACTACCGTCTATACAGCATCTTGAGATTACTTTCCAATAATAGGTTCTATAATGTAAAATCAAATCAGTTATCACAGTAAACAGTATAGCCCAGTACAGGAAACTGCAATTCATTCCTATCTTAATGTACTACTGATCTTTAAACATAAGTTAGACAAAGTAAATACTGCACTTTGAAGTGTTATCAGTTTTACTATTTGCATAGTATAGCTAATTAGGAAACAATAACATCGTCCTAGGGGAAACGCACACTGGCAACTTAATTCATTATCTTTTATTATTGTGTATCATGTTAAAATGACAGACATCTTATACTGTTTAAGTCATCACAATTTTAATTAATATAACTAAAACAGACTTAACTATACCTGCTCTCTTTGCCCATGCTGAGCCCATCTCAATTTAGAAACAACAAAAGTAGCTTTTAAAGTACTTTTCTATATTTGCTTAGCAATGTAATAGAAACATTAATACAAGTTATATATGGGAAGACTGAAATGAGTTAGAAATAGTACAAAAAAGTTCAAAGTCCATAAAAGTTCAACAGAACATAGAAAGTCTCATACTTGAGCAAACAATAACTTGTGAAAGAAGAAATTATTATTCTTTCTGCTTACCACATGGTATTGCTTGCTTCAGAGAAAGGAATTTCTTGCCCATTTCACCCAAAATACAAATAGGAGTCTAATTTACCACATGGGCTATGAATTAAATGTCAGTAACTTGAAACAGAATTGCTTCAGCCAATCAGTGTGTTCATTCACTGCATGTTTATTGACATAGAACTGGACCTTTATTTCTCAGTTATGCAGTTCCTGGGACTGAAGAGAATGTAATTCAGTGGTACAGTCAGTACTTGATAAACAAGAGCCTTAGTCATTGTTAAAGGACAGAAAAATGATTATGCAAATCAATGAACTATGATTGGTTCCTCCACCACAACCATTCATCCTCAGCAAACATGACCACTTCTCAACTTAAACTTCCCACACCTTTCTATGTACACACTCCCCACTGCACCTTTTGTGTCCTCCCACATGTTAAATACAATTTAACCTTAAAAATGAATTATGTTTAGGGTCGAGAAATGATGGACCTTTACACTGTAGGTTTTGTATGCCTTTACACTGTGGGTTTTGTAACTGGGTATATAGAAAGAGCTACACTGCAGTGGCATCCTTTGGGTTGACTCACCCAGTTAACTCAGTAGTACTCATCTCCTGCCTTAAAAGGCAGGAGAGTGCCTCAGAGTTCGAATAGTTCAGGATAGAGTTCTGTGTTTTAAACAAGGTTTGCCCTTAGTTCTTCCAAACTTTCCTTGATGTCAATGTGAACTTAATGTGAGCAAGGACTTCACGGTTTGGCTGCATCTTTATTGATTGCCAGCAATTACTTGATATCTGACTTTTTATATGTGTTTTTGCTACTTGTCAGATACTAGCCAAGTATTCACAGTCTTCATAAGCAGTCAACACACTCTTTAGTCAGGGTACATGAAAATGCCATCCTTAACTATCTACATATGGATTTAGGAGCTTAACTTTAAGAACCTAGTTTTGAAAAGTTTGATCATCAAGCCATCTTTTACTGTACTAAAATCTATTGTATAATAGAAAGTCATCAGTCTTGAGGCAAAAATCCTCACTTGGTTTTGTCAGGGTTTGGGCTTAATTAACCAAAATTAATAGTACAGTAATTAATTAATGGCCTATTAAGTTGTGCTCTTCAGTATGAAATTACAGCTTATCTGCATTTCTGGTTACATATTATTTATCCTTTTAATCCCATGTTATGACGTGGAAGGTAAAGGTGCCATTACAGCACTGGTATTAAATTGGGGGCTAGGGTGGCACAGGCACTAAGGCACCCAATTGACAACCCAGAAGTCGCAAGTTTGAGGACATAGCAGAAGCACTCAAGGCGTGGCCCTGTCAGATTCCAATGAATCTGTGAATTTTACTAAATACCTTGTCACAAGGACATGAAAAAGGAAGGTATTACATTCTGTGAGCTAGTATCAGCACATGGATAAAGCAGGCAGAACAACATCACACTGCTTAATGCAAACACTTTCTCAGAATAGACATTAACTGAGGCTTTTTCATGCACAGTTGACTTTATATAAACTGATTGACACCTTTGGGGGTCGTCTTTCCACCGACTCATAATTTTGCTCACTCTTGAAAAAGGCTTCTGTACACCCAGTATTCTCTAGTTAAAGCTGAAAATTCAACTCATCATATTTACACAATAAAAAAATCCATTCTGCCTTGTTTTTAATTGCAAATACTACTCAAGGGACCAATTCTCCTGCTTAGGAGGCAGCCCTGTGCCTTCTACTAGAGAACCAACTGCAGTCAATTATGGTAATGAAATGTCAATAAATATAAAAATTTAATACAGTCTGTTCTTGGTGAGTGGCAGATGAGGACTTGCCTCCCAGACAAATTTGCTGTTGCTGCAAATATTAAATGCACCTGAAAGAGGAGCAGGTTGCCTGAGAGCTCTCCAGTAGAGGGATGGTGGGAGATACAGACACCTATTGGGTTTTCCCATTATGGCATAATCGCTGCAGCAAGGCCAGTGATGTTTTTGACATCCATCCAAACATCTTAACTTATTATTATGAGGTGAAGATCAGATTTTCCTCACAAAGCATTTAAAATTGGTACCTCATTGAGGGACATATTTCCCTAACAAAGCAGCTCAGTTATAAAAAAGGAATTAAGTTACAAATGCGATGATTTAGCTGTGAACTGTTTCACAGAAGAAAGTAGTTGATATGTCATTATTTCTAAATGATTCATCTGATAGATGTCATTTGACTATGTTATCATCACAATGCCTTACAATTCATATTAATGGCTAAAGAAAAAGTAGTTTATGAGGGCAAGCTTAGCTTGGAGGCTGAGATCATGGGACTCCTGAGATCTAAATCCTATTTCTGTCACCGTCTCATTTTATGGCATCAAACAAGACATTTAAATTCAGTGCCTCAGTTTCTTTAGGTGTAAAATACAAAACAGTAATACATCTCAGAAGACACACATATTCCATAGAGTGCAATGGCCTTAAGCATGAAGTGAAGAGCTTCACTGAATCACAACAGTAGTATTTCTTGACATCCATCCAAACATCTTAATTTTTCATGCACAGTTGACTTCATTTAATCAATGTAATGCATATTCAAAGTTTTGGTTATGGTAAATAACATATAAACACAAAGCATTATAAAGGAGAAGGATATATAACCATGTGTGTAATAAAGGTTCCTTTTAACCCTTTTTAACTCTTTTATTTTTCCATATGAAATCAGGCAGGTTCTCAGTCTTGTAATTATTCTTTTTTAATTTTGAGCCAAACAACAGTTTTTTAAGAAAGTTGTATCATTCACTTCTGTGTGCTCTGA